CTAGGTTGTCACACTCAATATCGTCGGCTACCTCCATCACCTCGTCGTCGTCACCATCATCATCATCATCGTTGTCAGTGTCCTCCCCTCGTTCCCACGCCTACAACTTCCATAGCTTCTTCCTCTTCTTGTCCACCTTCACCTTCCTCAGCCGCTCGCCGTCAGCCTGATTCGCCACCGTCATGGCCAAATCCCTCGACAGCGGTGCCAGGTTGATCCATGAGGATGAGGTCCCTCAGCTAGTCCCACCCCTCTCAAAGTTAGTCTCACAAGGTCGGGAAATCAATTGACGAGAAGGCAAGAGAAAGGGAAACTTACAAAGACAACGTAGCCTGGCTCTGGACACATCGGAGGATGCTCTGGCATCGGGTAGATGAAGTCAAGGGCGTCACCCGTGTCATCCCATAAAGGCTCCATCGCCTCCTTGATGCGTTGCGCCATCTCGGAGTTGGGGAGCATATCCTCGGCGAGCTCCGTTTCATCAAACGATGCCTCGGGCGCCACCGCGTATAGCAGGAGCATCCGCATCATCAATGGCGCCACCCTCCTCGCATGGTAAGCCCCAATGACGCCCAACCCTTTCAGGCCGTTCTCCTTCAGGATGTGGATGGCGGCGATATGGTCTCGGATCTTCTTCTTGTCCTTCTCCGGGATGCCCCACTTCCTCCACTACTCTAGGGCCTCTTCGATCGGGCACCCGGTGAACTCCGGCAGATGGGCAGTAGTGTCATTCTTGAGGTAGAACCACTGCGAGTGTCACCCCTTGTTGGACGTTGAGAGCCGCATGGACGGGTACTCGCTGACCCAATTGTTCTGAAGTTGGATGCCAACGCACCCCATCGGCATGTGCAGCTCCTGTCTACCGCCCTTCTCCCTCTTCTTCTAGAGGCTGATGGAAAAGAAATACCTCCACAAGTCGAAGTGGGGGCTGATCCCCAGGAATCCTTCACACAACACGACGAACGCCTCCATGTGCTGGATCTCGTTGGGATTGAGATGCTGCAGCTTGATCTTGGAGAAGTGCAGCAGCCCTCAGAGGAATTTTTGGGCAGGGGTTTGAAAGCTATATATGGTTTGAAAGAATCCCCTAGAGCTGGGTATGCTCATTTGAGAACTTCTCTTCTTGCAAAAGTTTTTGAAATAGGGTCAATTGATAAAACTTTGTTTCTCTCAGGCATGGCAATGACATAACTTTGATCCAAATTTATGTGGATGATATCGTGTTTGGTGGCTCTTCTCATGCACTTGTTGCCTAGTTTGCAAAGGCATTGAGCAGGGAGTTGAGATGAGTATGATGGAGAACTGACCTTTTTCCTTGGGCTCCAATTCAAGCAAACTAGAGATGGGACATTTGTGCACCAAGGGAAGTACACCAAGGAAATATTAAAGTAGTTTGACATGGGTCAAGCCAGGCCTCTTTGGTGCTTATCCATGACAAATTAAGCTAAATCGTTATTAAGTTGCATATGTGACGCAATAAGAATGACAACGACTTCGTCATTACTTACTCACAAGTGATTTACATTGATGATATTGACATTTATTTTGACGAAAAAGATTCCACATACATAAGGATTTTTTCTAGTAGTGATATACTACGAGACCGGGATCTCGTGTCTCTTGCTAGTGGAGTATGTGGATGAAATCTCCAGGGGTTACCGAAGTTGAGTTACTTAAGCTAAGTTGGTCAAGAGGATGACACTCTGTTTAAGTAATTAACTTTGTGGGGTCCTTGCTGCTTTCTAATTAATTTATTTGATATGACATTTGTTAACCAACAATAAATTATTATAAACTTCACCAAACAAGTTGGGTTAGTGTTTAGTGAAACTAAGTAGGAACACACTACTATTGGAGCAGTAACTAACCATTTAGTAATTATTAGATTACTCAAATCATCTTTGTCATTCAAGCAATATGCAATGCTACCTAATTTATTTTCCCATAATCCTATACAATAGTAATGAATTCCTATTTTCCCCTAACAATGGGGTGGTCAAAGATCACAAAAAAAATTCATTAGTATATTTATTGTGCTAAAATCACCTAAATAAGCTGCTTACAAGTCATTTGGTTTTCTTAATCATTGGTAGGTGTTGGCAAGGAAGGAGGAGATGACCATGTTGGAGTTCCTTTTGAAGCTCAAGGAAGGCGAAAGGCCTAACAAAGCGCTGACATGTCTCTAAAATTTGACATTTGTAATATGTTTAACTGTTTATTTTTTCTAAAGTTTTGTTAAACTGTGTTGAGTAGTTGTAACTTTGTAATCTTATTTTGCTCCAAATGAAGGTGAAGGTGCTTTCTGTCAGTCTATGGTGTAACACGTTGCGTGTTTGTAAGATGGTAACCCTAGTAGTACTGTTGTTTAAGATTTCAAAAAAAAGATGGATCATGGTCTTTGTCCTCAAATTAGTAGCGTTATACTAGTTTGATATGACTTAGAAACTGTTGAAAACAGGGAGTCCATATACAATTTCTAAGGACTATTAGTTTGGTTTAGTATATACATTGATTAATTTAATTCTAAAAATTCCTGAAACAACCCTACTCTATCAAACAAAATCCCAACATGTTGAAAGGCTAAATAACCTCTCCAAGTTTCCATTGACTGACATCTATGGCTTTGTGAAATATTGATAGAATTTCCTTCTTAAACACAACTGTATCGACAATGTGAATATGTAGAATGTAGGATTTCCCCTTCTAAAACAACACATGTAACAAAGAAACACCATACCGGCAATTTACCTGAGGAACAATCAAATATGTCATCTGCTCCAATCAATCCCAACTCTTGAAGGAAGCCATGTGGTATTCTTTTGGACGTAGAAAATTTTCATGTGTAAGCTAAACCAGTACAGATGGATGAAAGTAAACAAGAAAAGGAATACATAGGGGAAAAAAGTAGATAAAGATAGCAACACATATTAACAAAAACACATGCTAATTAACAGATAAATAATTCATTAACTGAAAGATGGTCCATATGAAAAGCACACAGATTTATCAGGTATCATGTTTTGTTTCCATTAGTGTCCTCTGCAGCTTTTCCCATCCATGAGCGATGAAGTAGGCAACTAGACTTATACGGAATAGTACTGATAATGTAAATAGATGTTGTGCAGCAACACAACATATAGTAGCATCAAGCAGAGCACTAATCGATGTAATCACTAGTGCACAATCGGGCAAAGCTAGTTCTTCTTTTGACGCATGGGGTAAGACTCTGGTGTCATACCAGCCAGAGGTGCTCCAGGAACCAGCTTCTGCAAATAAATAAATAATCAATATTCCATTTTCATTAATAATCCCAGCAGGTGCTTTAGCATGATGTCTAATTTTTTTGCCAATAGTAAGCATGCGTGCAGCTCTCCTTTTCCCCATTTTGCCCTACCTCCCGTGTTTTGGACTACTCAACCAAAAATATGTGATTGATATGGACAACAGATTAAAGAAAGAGCTCTCACAAAACAAACTCTCGAATTAAGTCAGAACCAAACCATTCATCCAATGCTACAATTGAGATAAATAAGCATTTCAATAAAGAGACTAACAAAATGAATGCCAAGTTATTAGGGCTGGGCACTTTTGTCCCAAAGACCAAAGACCGAGCCGAGCCGAACCGAACCGAACTGAAGTGTCAGTTTCTTCAGTGTTTGGTGTTGGTGTGGGTTCGAAATTTCTGTGTGTCCAGTGATTGGTGTTGGTGTCGGTTTCAAACCATAGGACACTGAAAACCCGATGACAACCAAACTCCTGTTAACTAGGCTATTGTCACTTTTTCATTGCCTCCCGTGATCCCGCCAACTTCTTCCGTCCATTACTCTGCATTGTTCCTGTCGCTCCTTTTTTCCCTCACGTCTCACCTCCTCGACTCTTTATATGGATCTAGTAATTTTGCGCTTGTGTAGGGAGCAACCCAACAGAGCAGGGCAAGAGCGACGTGTGTGGCACTGGTGCTCGGCGCAGCGGTGCTACTGATCGGCGGGTGCACGCGGGGTTGTGGAGCTATGCTGCTAGACAACACAAGTGCCCAGCTGAGGTTGCGGTGAGTGGCGTGGCATTTGGCGAGTGGGGCTGTGGCACGGTGCTACTGCATGGCGCAAGTGCCCAGGGTTGTGGAGTTTGGCGAGCGCCGAGCGGGGTGAACTGGACTGCAGCAAGGTGATGTCATGACAACATGACGGGTGTGGTGGCGTGAGACTGGTGTCTGGTGAAGCTCGGTGTTTTTGGTGGGACTGAGAAACCGAACAGATTATACCAACACTGAATACATCGGTTTTTGATTCTATCAAACACAGATCAGCTTCTATTTTCCGTACACCGAATAAACTAAACCGATTACATCGAACACACCAATTGTCCAGCCCTACCAGTTATTAGGCTACCCAACATATTAGTGCTTTTCTACTCCAAAGTACATCACTTCTCTTCAGACTTCACCGGGGACACAATATTGCTTTGCTACAATCTCAATGCGGAGGTACTAATAGGCAGCCAGCCACTATAGCTACCGCTAGTACAGATGACACAAATTGCCACACTACCGTAAACACAGAGAGCTAGTGACTCTAAGGCCAGTCTCAGTGGGGAGTTTCATGGTGTTGTTTCCAATACTACAATGTCATATGAAATGAAATGAAACTTGGATGGAGCATCCACTCTCAATGGAGAGTTTCATTCTATGGTTTCATATGCATTTAATTTCAAGACTCATAGATAGTTGGTAATCGTGCCAAGATGAAACTCATTTCTTCTCTCTCTTCTTAAATACACTGCCATGTCATCAAAAATGGCTATGTGGCAACCTATTTAATGCAAATGAAACTTCCACTGAGACTGGCCTAAGACGGTGCCGGTGGCAATAGAGGCCTAACATCCACCAACCATTGTTAACATCTTTACTCTCCAACCACCCTTCTTCAAAATTGAATGTTGCCATGTCCCTACAGGGCCCACAATGTGGAACATATAGCCTATGTTAGTGACTTGATGTGCAACTATGATGCATCAACAGGTTCTACAACATCATGCCCATAGTCATCTAACCACTCTGATGCATAAACATGTTCCACAACAACATGCCCATAGTCACCTGAAATCTGGTTGGATCATGTCATTGGGTCATGGTCGAGTTACATGGGTCGTGAATTTCTAAAAACACTAGTGGGAGTAGTTTGGATTCAGTGACCGCAACTTATCAATACAAAGTCATAAAAAAATTTGGTAGCATACAAAATGGCCTATTCAACTTGGGACAATGTTCTCATGTTACGAAATGTGGTGTCAACCCCGACCTCTGTGACTATGATTGTGCCTAAAACATTGACTACTATCAGTTGCCATTACAAAAATATTTTGTCATCCTAAACCACCATTCCTTTCTAGGAGATCCTCCTATACAGAGGAGGAGTTTTGATAACTTCAACATAGAAAGGATAGACCAAGATTGGGAATGACAAATTTCACACCAAGCTAACTCATACCGTATAGATTGCGTGTTCCATGGAAATCCTCATCTTTGCTTGTCTGTGCAATTACAGCTAGACTAAGATGCTATAAATAGTGTGTTTCCCCATGCCTACTAAGATCTCAAATTTGTAAATCATAATTAGTGCACCAACTAAAGTAATCCAAGTATTTAATTTACTAGAGATAATAAAAATCAAAGTAATCAATAGGGGGGAGGAATGAAATTTGCGAGAGGAAAGGGCGGGGGGGAGGGGGGGCAGCGACTCACGTTAAGCATCATTTGCGTCTGGACTGGTCTCCGATGAGGTTGTCCGCGTGGGAGCTCACCGGTCATGGAAAATATGTCCTCGGCGATCTCTTCATCCGTTAGCTTCAAAGTGAAGGTGCCTAAATCCTCAACTTTACCTCGACGCTGCCGTAGACTCCGCCGTGGCATAGCACCCTCCGATTTCTCCAAGGTAGGCGTGCCTTTTGGTGCATCAATAAGAGGCTTAGAGGTATTCAGTTTTGGAGCTATGGCGCATAGTGCTTGCACAATGATTGGTGGGTTGGAGGACATGGTTTGCGGCGATCAGGAAGGTTGCAAAGCTGGGTTCAGTTGATTCGAGGAGAGGCTGAGGAAGGTTGCAATGGTGTGGGTGAAATGGAAGGAAGGAGAAGGCCGGCATATATAGCCAAATTCTATGCGAAAAGGGACCGTTTTAGTTATCTTTACAGATAGTAGGCATTATGAGCGTGATACCAGAGGACTTTTCACGCATAGGCAATATTCTCAGCACGCCACCTAGAAAATTACTAGTCCACCCTCCTTAAATGGCAATTAATAATTGTACAATAATATATATCCAAGTATTGAATAACTAAACTCTAAATATTATGGAAAAATACTAATATTTTAATCGTTTTCTTGTCCCAACAAAACTAAGATTGTAATGTAGATGTGTGTAAGAAGTTTTTTTGGCAGAACTGACTTGTTTAACCTTGATTAGGCATGTTCGTCGATCACTTGACACAAGAAATGCTTAACCCAAGCCAAACCGACAGTTCATGTTTCTCTCCATGACCACATCTATATGTCTTTATAACAAAGCTTTTCAAAACAAACACAGTTGAAAGACATAACCATGTACTTTGAATTTAAACTTTACATAATGGACAAATTCGAAGAATAACAATATACATTGAAAGACTAAGTTATAAAAGAAATTCAATTTTACATCAGGGTTCATAGAGGTCTAGTACAAAATTATAAAAGAACGTCAACATTGACAAATGTTCACAGGACTCGAACGCATAGCGCTCCGGTAGCAACAAGAACAACAATAGTCAAGCTACATTATGCCCACTACAAGCTCCCAAGTGGCATAGAGCTTAGCTAAGTGAGAGCAGTTTGACCACTTGGCACGACACTCGGCTCATTACTGATCAGCATGGTCTGCACTCAAATAGTCATCAGCAACAACATAGGGACAAACGTTAAGTACACAATGTACTCAACAACACTTACCTAATGTTGGTATTATAGATACCACTAACAAATATATCTACAAGCCCACGAACACTGATGTAGCTTTCACTTTGAGTATTCTAGAGTATATATTTCCACAATGGACAAAGAAGTGTACATGTTATAGTCAATATCATCTTGTGCTAAGAAATGGGTAAAGATAAATAATGATTGGGGTAGAGAGGAAATTATAGTTGGTTTCTAAGATATATACTTTGAAGAATTATGAATCAGGTTCTCACTTAGGAGATTCACTTCGGGTCGTCAGACCCTCCTAATAGTGGAAATGGATGAGAAGGGTGTTTTGCAACTCTAACAATGGTCCATATTTTAAACACCTGCCCAAACATGGTTTAATACATTGGCATAGGATAATGATGTCATCATCTATAGGCTACCACCGTGGGGTAGGGTATAATCTTAGGTGATGACTAGTTCATTAGATGCCACGTCTATGCTAATGATTATTACTCTAGTCATGATGTATAACTGGAGTACTTGATGCATGGGGGTTGCGATGGTCATTAACCTTCTAAAATGAGCATCAAGTCCTTCATATAAATGACAAAGACATTATCATAATCCTAGTGATAGGATTTATTTCTACTAAATTCCACTCATTTTGGTGACTATATGAATGTAGCATTACTACAACAGCTTCAAGGTTCTGAGTAACAACTCGTTCATGGATGAGGACGAGGTCTAGCAAAGCTGCTCCACGAGCGATGATGGCTCCAACGATGAAAACCCTCCTCTCCTAGTAGTCCTTACTAGAGCTCCCAAGAGGAGAGTGGCGACGGTGCCTTCGTCCCCGATGATGATGATGACGCCGACAACGATGGAAACGACGACATCAATGACGAGGACGAGGACGATGAGCCTCCTCACAAGCGGCTAAGGAAGGATGAATCTCGCTCTATTAGCGAGGATTTTCCTTAGATTTAGTTTAGATTTATTAGTTTTATTAGTTTATCTCTCTGATGTATCTGTTGGAGTACAATGTAATCCAATGTATCTCTTTTTATTAATGAATCATGAATGATAATTAATTTGTTTTATTACTTCTAGTGAATCTTGAATTTATCTCTCTGATGTACTCCAAGGCCGTGATTTGTACATCATTAGCGACTGAATCTCTCACAAAATCTCTCTCATGTTTTTCAACAAAATCTCTCATGTTTTTCAACAAAGTCTCTCTCACAGCATTCATGGCTATGCACATTCCCTTAGTTGTTCAACAACTGACTATTGATACTTCTTATGTCTATTGGAGGGGTTCTACAAGCGCACAGAAAATATTGTATAGCCCTTCGCTCAGTAAGTATTCTGAGGTCGTATTTATATTTTCCCAAGGGAAAGCGGAAGAGAAGGATAGATGATGAATAGAAATGCTAAGGACATGATTATCAGACAAAAAGGTATGTCCTTAGCTGAAGGGGTCAACGACTATGGTGTAGAGGTGTTGATAGGTGTAATGCCCAAAACAAAAAAAATACTAACATATGAGCACGAGTCTTTTGGGGTTGATTTGATGCAACTAGGGCCTAATTTGAGTCCAATTCATGGGGAGAAAATAGAAAAACATTCAACCTGACCCGATGCTAGGCCCAAGTCTTTTTACCCTATTTAGACCTAGGGAGGAGCATCACTAACCCATTTGTCGATCCCCTCTCTCCCCAGAACACGGATGCCCCTCCCTATAGCGCCTCCCCCTCTGTAGAACCACCTCCATAGTAGCAAAAACCAGAGGGGAAAGGAGAAATATGATTGAGAAGGACAGGATCAAGACGAGGTATATCATCGGTGTAGATTAGTTTTTCCCCATCTCTATCTCATTGCCCAAGGTTTGGGGTATAACCAAGGTGTGGAATCTACCTTTCCCTCTGTTAATTGAACTTTAGGTGACCTACAGTCGTGGGGCATATTAGACTAGAGCTGGAGACCAGAGACTCACTCTAACTCCTTACTATACTAACCCTAGTACTACATCTTGAGAGAGAGTGGAGTGCTTCTTCTTGTGGTGTGTTGAATGAGAGGGAGTGAGGTGGTATTTATAGTGGAGAGGGAGTGATCAAAGTGGGTCCATGTATTCATCAACAGAGGTTAGCCCTGTAATTGAAGGTCTAAATGACAAATTTCTTGTTCCTTCGATATTTGTGGTATTTGTGGTTCAGGATCGATGGCGAAATCTTTGTATGAGATTGGTCGTGATTCATCTATCAAGATTTCTTCTTGCTTGGGGATTGATTCCTTTTCTTCCTCGGGTATTTTGTCATGGGCGCTAATGTAGGGAGTGTTTTCAAGGATTTTGTTTAGAATAGTCCTCCCTTTACTACTGGATAGGTGTAAGAAAGCTCCTCTTGAGGCTATATCAAGGAATTGTGTAGAATCTTTGCTAAGAGCCACACAAAAATGTTGCAAGAGCATAGGATTGAGTAAAGCAAGATTGGGGCCAGATGTGGAAAGATCTAAGAAACAGGCCCAAGATGCACCAAGAGATTCCTTTTCTTTTTGCTTGAAGGATACAATCTCCTTTATTTCAAAGATGAACGACACAAGAGATAGGGAAGAAAGCTAGGCAGAATTTGGTTTGAAGGCTTTCCCACTCTCCATGTACACTCTCTACATGTCGAGAATACCAATGTTTAGTTGGTCCCGTCAAAGAGAATGGGAATAGCTTCCATTTCAAGGCATCTCGTGTCATGCCTTGAATGTGAAGACACGAACACAATTGCAAGTGATTATAGGGGTTTTCATCTTTTTCCCAGCAAAAGATTGTTCCTAAACCTTGGATATGAAACTAGGGTGAAGCTCATAGCTAGGTGAAAGGATGGGTTTTGTTGATGGTGGTGGCTCCAAACAAGCGCTCTTTGGAACAACGAAGTGAGAGATGGGTGTTTGGTTCATGGTGTGAAAAGGATAAAAATAAATGACAGATAAAATAAAGATAACTCAGATGACTCGATTCTAAGTTAAGAATAGCTATTGTTCCCCGACAACAGCACCAAAAAGCTTGTTGACACCAAGGGTGGTAAATGGATAAAGCGCAAGCGTATGGTTATCAATGTAGCCTTCACCAGGAGTATTCTAGGTATCAATTTCCATGGGGAACGTGAACTAACCAAGGATCAAGATCGTCCTATGATGATACAAGGAATTTATGATAGTGGGTAGAGAGGATCTTTATAGCTATATTATTTGGTAAGGTAAGATAGATATAACAGCAAGTTAATGCCCTTGCTCAAGTGTAACAACCCGGGTTTTCATGCAACCAAAAATACGAGTTTTTTAAAAAATTTCTTGCAATGTATGAAGCATGTAGTCGCCAGGTCAAACCTTAGTCAAACCTAGGAGAACTTACCAATAAATTATTGCGTTCATGTAGAATTGATTGTAGGTGTGTGCCTTGTTCTTGAGTTGGTTTTAGTCTTGAGTTTGGTTTGGAATTGGAGTTCACAAATCTGTAGCAAGAGTTCCTCCCAACCTCTCTTGAATTATATCTCAAATCCCATTAGAATCTCTCCCAAACTCCTTTTGAAATTCCCTTCTCAAATCCCCTTTTGAATTCCCTCTCGATTTTCTTTTGGTTCCACAAAAAAATCCCTTAGTCATAATTGGGAAATCCTCTTCTTCCCTCTTGGGCCAAGCTCCTCCCTTCTCCCTACCCACGGCCCACTACCACTCTCTCTTTCCTTCTCACCCGATGGCCCGTCCAGCCTCTCCCACTCACGCTCGTGGCCCAATCAGCCTGCTCGCCTCGCTAGCTTCTCTCATGGCCCAGCCGCCGCGCGGCCTAGCTTGCCTCCTCCCACATGTGGCCCAACCACACCGGCCCCCATAAGCGTGCGACCCACTGGCCCCCACAGGCCCGGTCGCTAGCCCCGATGGGCCCCCTAGCTCAGCCACCTGAGCCGCGCCCTAACCCTAAGTGTGAGTCGCACCTTGCATCCACTCTTAGCGCTGCCGCCGCACTTCACGCACCCGCGCCGCACCCTATCTCAGCGTTCGTACGTGCACCTAGATCAGCCACCGTGTGTCCCAGCCATCACATC